CATTCACAATGGAAAGTATGGTCAACAACCACATGTTATACTGATAAAAAGATTGAGGTTTCCCTGAAATCTAAGCAGTATTAGTCCAAACAAACTGCTGTCTCTTAAGACTGACAAACAACCAGATGGACGGACAGATAGATGGATAAGTTGATGGATGGATGGATGGATGGATAGATGGACGGATGGATGGATGGATGGATGGATGGATAAATGGATGGAATGACAGACGGACGGACGGATGGATGGACGGATGGATGGAAGGATGGATGGATAGATGGACGGATGGATGGATGGATGGACGGATGGATGGACGGATGGATGGATGGATGGATAGATGGACGGATGGATGGACGGATGGATGGATGGATGGATGGACGGACGGACGAAAAGATGGACCTTTGCTGCAGACAAAAAATCACAAAAGTCACACCATTGACAGTTTAACAAATTTCTTGTAACCTAAAAGCTGGAGTCTATTGTCAAATGGCATTTGTAGTCATACAACACTAGTGAAATAAACAAAAGTTTGGTTGCGTAACACTGATGTCATTAGGTGACCAATGACATACTGTATACTGGGAAATTTTCACTGCAGTTTAATTTTCGCCTTTTTCAGCCTCCGTAATGATGGTGAATTTATCATGACAGCAAACATTTGTAGAGAATATAACATGCATAGCAATTAAATGTGAAGGGCATATTTAATATTGGGCGAAAATGGACATTATCATTGAAGGGCAAAAATTTGACTGCAAAAAATGTCCTGGTATACAGCAGTTGAACAAAATTACAATGTTTTCGCTGACCAATGAGGGCAGTGAATAGATGGAGTGTTACTATGTTGCTGACCAATGTAGGAGATACAAAGTATGACCAATACTTGTCCCTGACAAATAAGGTGCTGATAATCAAAATATCATAGTCACACACCATTGTAACACTCACCATTGCTACCCTCACCATTGTAACACTCACCATTGTGAGTGGTAACACTCACCATTGTAACACTCACCATTGTAACACTCACCATTGTTAGTGGTAACACTCACCATTGTAACAATCACCATTGTGAGTGGTAACACTCACCATTGTAACACTCACCATTGTAACACTCATCATTGTAACACTCACCATTGTAACACTCACCATTTCTACCCTCACCATTGTAACACTCACCATTGTGAGTGGTAACACTCACCATTGTAACACTCACCATTGTAACACTCACCATTGTTAGTGGTAACACTCACCATTGTAACAATCACCATTGTGAGTGGTAACACTCACCATTGTAACACTCACCATTGTAACACTCATCATTGTAACACTCACCATTGTAACACTCACCATTGCTACCCTCACCATTGTAACACTCACCATTGTGAGTGGTAACACTCACCATTGTAACACTCACCATTGTAACACTCACCATTGTTAGTGGTAACACTCACCATTGTAACAATCACCATTGTGAGTGGTAACACTCACCATTGTAACACTCACCATTGTAACACTCATCATTGTAACACTCACCATTGTAACACTCACCATTGTAACACTTACCATTGTAACACTCACCATTGTAACACTTACCATTGTGAGTGGTATCACTCACCATTGTTACACTCACCATTGTAACACTCACCATTGTAACACTCACCATTGTAACACTCACTTTAACATACACTTGGAGTTTATTAATTCTCATATTTTTATTATGCATTCTTGAACATATGCAGAACTTTACATACAAAGCAAAATTATTCAAGAAATATGTTTTTTAAAAATAGACACAACAAGATATTTAATAACTTGCTGAGTTCCTAATCATAATCATGCAGGAAGTTAATTTTCCACATCACCTGTTTATCTGCATAAACAGTTGCTTTCCCATCTATTCTATGCATGTAATAAATTCAAATGAGAAGTTCATTTATCAGGAAAGAGAATGTTGAGATTTCTCTATAAAATATATTCACATTCTACATTACAAATATATGCACTTCACATCAAAGAGTACACTGTATTATGTACTTCACATTACACAATACACTGTACTATGTACATCACATTACACACTACACTGTACTATGTACTTCCCATTATACACTCCACTGTACTATGTACTTCACATAACACACTGCACTGTACTATTGTACTTCACATTACACACTACACTGTACTATGTACTTCACATCACACACTACACTGTACTATTGTACTTCACATTACACAATACACTGTTCTATGTACTTCCCATTATACACTCCACTGTACTATGTACTTCACATAACACACTGCACTGTACTATTGTACTTCACATTACACACTAAACTGTACTATGTACTTCACATTACACACTCCACTGTACCATGTACTTCACATCACACACTACACTGTACTATTGTACTTCACATTACACACTACACTGTACTAGGTACTTCACATTACACACTACACTGTAATAATTGTACTTCACATCACACACTACACTGTACTATGTACTTCACATTACACACTACACTGTACCATGTACTTCACATTACACACTACACTGTACAATGTACTTCACATTACACACTACACTGTATTATGTACTTCACATTACACACTAAACTGTACTATGTACTTCACATTACACACTACACAGTACTATGTACTTCACATTACACACTACAGTGTACTATTGTACTTCACATCACACACTACACTGTACTATTGCACTTCACATTACACACTACACTGTACTAGGTACTTGACATTACACACTACACTGTAATAATTGTACTTCACATCACACACTACACTGTACTATTGAACTTCACATTACACACTACACTGTACTATTGTACTTCACATTACACACGACACTGTACTAGGTACTTCACATTACACACTACACTGTATTATGTACTTCACATTACACTCTACACTGTACTATGTACTTCACATTACACAGTACACTGCACTATGTACTTCACATCACACACTACACTGTACTATTTTACTTCACATTACACACTACACTGTACTAATTGTACTTCACATCACACACTACACTGTACTATGTACTTCCCATTATACACTCCACTGCACTATGTACTTCACATAACACACTGCACTGTACTATTGTACTTCACATTACACACTAAACTTTACTATGTACTTCCCATTCCACACTCCACTGTACTATGTACGTCACATTACACACTCCACTGTACCATGTACTTCACATCACACACTACACTGTACTATGTACTTCCCATTATACACTCCACTGTACTATGTACTTCACATAACACACTGCACTGTACTATTGTACTTCACATTACACACTAAACTGTACTATGTACTTCACATTACACACTACACAGTACTATGTACTTCACATTACACACTACACAGTACTATGTACTTCACATTACACACTACAGTGTACTATTGTACTTCACATCACACACTACACTGTCCTATGTACTTCACATTACACACTTCACTGTACTATGTACTTCACATTACACACTAAACTGTACTATGTACTTCCCATTCCACACTCCACTGTACTATGTACGTCACATTACACACTCCACTGTACCATGTACTTCACATCACACACTACACTGTACTATACTATTGTACTTCACATTACACACTACACTGTACAATGTACTTCACTGTACTATGTACTTCACATTACACACAACACTGTACTATGTACTTCACATTACACAATACACTGCACTATGTACTTCACATCACACACTACACTGTACTAATTGTACTTCACATCACACACTACACTGTTCTATTGTACTTCACATCACACACTACACTGTACTATGGACTTCACATTACACACTCCACTGTACTATGTACTTCACATCACATACTACACTGTACTATTGTACTTCACATTACAAACTACACTGTACTAGGTACTTCACATTACACACTACACTGTATTATGTACTTCACATTACACTCTACACTGTACTATGTACTTCACATTACATACTCCACTGTACTATGTACTTCACATTACACACTACAGTGTACTATTGTACTTCACATCACACACTACACTGTTCTATTGTACTTCACATCACACACTACACTGTACTATAGTACTTCACATTACACACTCCACTGTACTATGTACTTCACAATACATACTACACTGTACTATGTACTTCACATTGCACACTACACTGTACTATGTACATCACATTACACCCTCCACTGTACTATGTACTTCACATTACACACAACACTGTACTATGTACTTCACATTATACACTACACTGTACTATGTACTTCACATCATACACTACACTGTACTATGTACTTCACATCACCCACTACACTGTACTATGTACTTCACATTGCACACTACACTGTACTATGTATTTCACATTGCACACTACACTGTACTATGTACATCACATTACACACTCCACTGTACTATGTACTTCACATTACACACTACACTGTACTATGTACTTCACATTACACACTACACTGTACTATTGTACTTCACATCACACACTTCACTGTACTATGTACTTCACATCACACACTACACTGTAATATGTACTTCACATTGCACACTACACTGTACTATGTATATGTACTTCACATCACACACTACACTGTACTATGTACTTCACATTTCAGAGTACAACACCTACTTCATATTACAAACTACATTGCAGTACTCTGCACTCTGTAATAAATATTGAAAAGTACACTGACGGAGTCCTTCACATCCATTGGGTATAAAATCAAGCTCAATCTCAAACACAATTCAAATTCTCAATGTAAAAGTAACAATAAGGAATTTTATGTGTCTGAACACTCAAAAGTCTGTAAAGCTCCCGTGTGTACATGTCTTGGAAGTGCCCAGTACAGCTGGCAAGCTTTAAACACAACACAGGCAGGAAATATATAATAAGTATCTAATAACCACAAACTTCACAGACGATTTGTCAGCATCTTACCTTAACAAGTACACTTCTACCGTAAACGTCTGGATTCACTTTCAAAAAGGGTGCTGAAAAATAAACCATCATTACTTTAACCATTACGCCGTCTACATCACAGTCAAATGAGGTTATGGTCTAACTATTTTAAATTTTTATCAAACAGTATGTTAAGATTTCAAGGCGGTCTGTTGCGCAAGTGTTGGAATGATATTTATGATGTTTACTCACAATAAAATTGATATAATTCTGGTCACATATTTCTATCATAGCTGGGAATCATGGAGTACAGTACACAAATTCTTCCTTCTAATGAACAACCAGAAATGTCTGCAACGACGCCCCTATAATCAGGAAAGTTCTCCCACAACTACCGCATCTCTCTAACAAATTCGCTACAAAATTTTGTGAATTTAAAGTTTTACGAGATACAGACCTTCAGTCATTAAAGGTTTATTTAGATAATATAAGCAAATATAACTTTAAAACTAAGTTCTGATATTCAAGTAGACCCCAATAGACCTATAAAAAGTTATGGTTTTGTGTCATGTGCTTTTAATGTGACCATTGCTTTGATACTGTTCAATGAGGGACTTTACAGAATTAACCGTATCACTGACCAATGACATATTTGCTGACCATGCAATGAGGGAACTGAATGAGTGTTACCATATTTTTGACCAATGCAGGGCATACAAAGAATGACAAATATCTTGACACTGACCAATGAGGGAGGTAAACAGAATGGCCATTAACTTTTTGCTGACAAATTAGGGAGGTAAAGGGAATAACCATTACCTTGTCACAGACCAACAAAGGACTTGAACAGAATGACCAGTGCTATGTTGCTGACCGATGAGGAAGGTACTGTATATAGAATGACCGACGTTACCTTAATTTGTTTAAGTTGTTGATTTGCAAATTAGGAAGTTAATTAGAATTACCATTACCTTGTAACAGACAGAATGACCGGTGCTATGTTGCTGACTAATAAGGAAGTTGAACAGAATGACCATTACCTTGTAACAGACAGAATGACCGGTGCTATGTTGCTGACTAATAAGGAAGTTGAACAGAATGACCATTACCTTGTAACAGACAGAATGACCGGTGCTATGTTGCTGACTAATAAGGAAGTTGAACAGAATGACCATTACCTTGTAACAGACAGAATGACCGGTGCTATGTTGCTGACTAATAAGGAAGTTGAACAGAATGACCATTACCTTGTAACAGACAGAATGACCGGTGCTATGTTGCTGACTAATAAGGAAGTTGAACAGAATGACCATTACCTTGTTGCTGACAGATGGTATACTCAACTACTGGAAGCTTTCTGTCACTGGAAAGAAAAGAAACAAATTTTCACAAACAGTGGACTTATAAGTAAAATATAAGCATTTTAGCTGAATATATGTACACAAGGTGCATTCATCTACCTGCAAAGTGGAACAGTGGTTATGTTGTTTTGTTGTGTCGCTTCAAATGGAACACAATGGAGAAATCCACACAACATGTAACGTAATTCCGCACAATGCAAAAAAATCGAGAAATAAACAATCTAGATGGCCGACTTTCTGCAGATGCAACAATAGTTGCTATGTGCAGCCATATATCACTTAGTGGTCAAACAATGCACCACCTTGTTCTCAGCACTTTGTTTTGTCAACAGAGTAGACAATTTGAGTGAAATTTATCCGGAAAAAATAAAATCCTTCCAGAATCAGAAAACAAAAGAACAAATGAACAACGTCTGGATTTTCTTTTCTTCAAATTGTATGCATCCCACCGCCACCACTGTGTGTGTAACCAGTGATATCTTCACTGCAGATACATTTCAAAGTGTTATTTTTCTGTGAGAGAAAAAGGCAAGAATTGTGAGACAAGTACAATAGGGTATGTAATAGGACCTGCAGATGACAAGTCATTCTACCTGGTGGAGCGCACAGGGTGGCATGTATTGTCACGGTCACGCGTCACCGACAGTCCACAGTGATGGGTGGTACCCGTCAGAAGGAGGAGGAGGCGGAGAGATCAGAACCGCATTATTGTTGTCAAATTGCTTTTCATATTTCATTGTGGAGGAGGAAGATATGTGGTTCCTTTGATGTGTAAAACTGTGTATGCACATCATCTATCACAACACAAAGCCAGGGTGTGTTCTTAATGACACACCCTCTTTTAGTATCTCCTCCCTCATTTCCTTCTCCTTTCCCACACCTTCACCTACTTGTACTCAACTCTTTCATTACTAATATCACCATTTCATTGCCTTCTTTCTCTTCTTCCTTTTTCCTTCCTCCTTTCTATTTCCCTTCTCTTGTTCTCCAACTCTTCCTCTGTCCCATCTTTACTTCACCACATCTTAATCCATTTGTACTTTCCCTACTAAGATCTTCCCCTTTTTCCATCTTCCTTTCCCACTTTTTCTCTTTCCCCTTCTTCTATCCTCTACTAACGATCTCCTCTTCCTCCTCTCTTTTACTTTTCTCACTTCTCCTTATCATAATCCCCTATCCACCCCATCCTTCCATTACTTTCCTCCTTTCATTTACTCATTCTCATTCTTTTCTTCATTCTCTCATTCACATCCCTTTCTTCACTTCATTCTCTCAATTTACCTAACATGTTTCCCCATCTTATTAATGCAGCACTTTAATTTTCCTATTTTAATCTTGACTTCTTCACATCTTCCTTTTTTACTTTTTCATCCTCTCCATCTCTTCTTCTTCCTCCTATTTTCCTCTCTCCTTCCTATCCAGCCCTACTCCCACTTCAATCAAGCAAATTAACAAACGAGTTCAAATTAATTAATCTGGCCCAGGTACAAGTGTTTGTTTAGTTTGGTTTGTTTGTGTTTCACGCCTGAATAAGTCTCAACTGCTTAAAAAGAGATTTATTAGAAATAACTGTAGAATTGTAACATGTTTTCATTATCCCTGTTTAACACACCAACTGAACTCATTGCATTCGTTATATTACCAAGGTACGACCATTTTCTTTCTCACACGGTCATCGGTAGTCATGTGACCATCTCCAGTCATGTAAAACAAACACAATGTTAATATAAGTAGGTTTTAACGAGTGGATATTAAAAGTCTTCAAAACTTTTTTCCCCAATTTTGGCTTGATCTTATTTCCCCAATTAGATGTGCTAGACTTGTTTATTCGTGTTATGCATGTTATTCAAATATTTTTTAAATATATTTTAAATCCTATTCTCACCCTTAGTGAACTGCACATCTTGTTTGTACATAAGGAACTGCTTCATTACAAAAGGAAGGCACTCCAAAGATAACATCAACGGTTTAAGTGTCATATGAAATAAAGTAACAATGTTTCTATAGTTAGAAAAAGAACTATTAAAATAATCTTTTACACAATGACAGCTTGTATACTGTACTGAACGTGATCAAAATAATATCAGTATGTTTCAGATCATATAATAACAACGAGGTAGGTGACTCTTAGCAAAAAAACTAAACATAACTTAGTGCCTCTGCTACTACAGTACTAGTAACTACAATGTGCAATAAGATATTAGTTCCAGTTAACCCATTCCCCCCTAAATTCACTTTTGAAACTTACCAAATCATAAGCTGGGCAAGTCCAATTTAAATATGGAGGTGTGAATGAGCTAAATATTACTGTTACCTGTAACAACACACTTGTTACAACAATGTGTAAATAAATATTTTTTGTATTTAATTATCAATACAATGTGCAACTAAATAAAGTCGAAAATGTGGAAAGTTGAAATAGATAGATGAATAGATGGATGGATGATGGACAGATGGAACAAGAGGCCCAAAGGGTCTGTTTTGCTCACCTTGATATTTAAGCAGTCAAAGCAAAATATTCTCATTAGATATCATACTGTACTACAAATATTTCAATTGCAAACTTTGTCATCTTTTGATTATTCAGGAGTTGTTTGATGTTATTGACAAATTGACCCCTGTGACCTTGAAAATAGGTGAAGGTTATTTTCATTTGCAGACTGTCGGGTTCAATCAAAAGAAATAAACAACAAGAAGCCCAGAGGGCCTGTATCGCTCACCTGAATATGTTTAAAATAATTGGAATAAAGTAAAGAGATATCACTCCATTGTAGGTGCTGTAAGTACATATGAAATTGCAGAAAGATCCATCCAGTACTTGAGATATAGCGAGAACAAATTTCAAACAGAGCCCC